TGGATCAGCATCAGCTACTACCACACTACATTTTAACTCGGGATCTGGAGACTTGACGGAGTTATGATGATCTTTGTGTTTAAAGGTCTTTTGGCTCTGGAAGTCATTTTAATTGGCTTACCTCCTAAAGTTAACAAGTGTAGATATTTATTCAATAATTAATTTAATGAAAGTTTCATTAAAATCTGTTTAGTGGTTAGACTTGTTTTGCTAACAGACAGACACGGGCTTTTCAGCTGCTCGCCATGAGAAACGCATTTAGAAATCCCCTTTACCTCTGAAATGTTTGTTTTGCAGCTGAATCTATGTTAAGGCGTATTATATGAAAGCTCCTATAACTCAGAACCAAATGTCGAAGTCCACTTCCGGTTAGTTTGAAAGGCTTGTGGCGTTATAGAAAGATTTGTCTCAGTAGCAGTGGGTCACACTGAGCGATGGCGTTGTGGGAGAGGCATTTCCTCACAGCGGCGTCAGCAGGGTCAACCATCAGAAAGGAAAACACAGCGTCAGGGGCGTGGCCCGGGGTCCCCTGTGGCCCTCTGTACCCCAAACAAATTGAGCTTTTAGGGAGACGCCGTGGCTCTCAGCGGAGTACAGGAGCCTGTCTTGTGTCTGCGCCTGCTCCTGCACACAAAGTGCCATTGACGACAAGCAGGTTTGGGTTCAGGTGGGGGGGGGGGGGGGGGGGGTTCTGTGTTTTCCTCCACTTCACTCGGTGCTCCTGAGCTAACTTTGCTTGAATAGAAGGTTAAAGACAAAAATATCTTGGAAAAAAAGGTGTTTTCATAGGAAATGGTCTTATTAAAAAAAAAAAAAAAAAAGACCATTTCAACCTAAAGAACCACAAATCTGAATTTCTGCCTCTTGTACCTATTTTATATATATATATTTAAAATCTAAATGATTTTAACAGTCCATAGCACAGTTGGTAGAGTTGTAGCCTCGCAGCAAGAAGGTTGCCGGTTCAATTCCCGGCCCGGGACCTTTCTGGGTGGAATTTGCATGTTCTCTCTGTGCATTTGTGGGTTTTCTCCATATACTCCAGTTTCCTCTCACAGACCAGAAACATGCATGTTAGACTGATTGGTAACTCTAACTTGTCTCTAGGTGAGAGAGTGAATGTTTGTTTGTCTCTGTGATGGACTGGAGACCTGTCCAGGGTGTCCCCCGCCTCTCACACAGTGATGGCTGGATATGAGCACTAGAAAAAAGAAGAAGCAGGTAAAGGTAATGGATGGAGTGATGAATGGATGGATGGATAGATTTTAACAGTGGTTATGACTCAGCTAAGCTAACTGAGCTCTCCACGTAGTGTCTGCTCTGACTTCTGTCTTCCTGTGAATCTTCAGCGAGTCATTATTGGTTTTTGACTTCTAGCTCTGTGTAGGCTGGCTTTTGATTGAAGTTATGACCCCGTGGTGACAGACGTGCACCTAGCTGTGGTAATGTGCTTTAGCTGTACAGTTTTGCACACAGATATAAAGTGTCAGCTCTGGTGTAAATAACAGAATTACAAAACCTAAATTTTGGGACTTTTTAACACTTTTAACATCAACAAAATCTATTTTTATTCATTAACTTTGTATCTGAACGCGTGTGCTGCATTTACCAGGGGATGCCCTCTGCACGCCTGCTTCCCACACAGGCTAAAACACACTTCAGACACAACTGCAGCTGTAAACCTCTGCAGAACTTATGGGTCCTGGCAAAAAAAAAAAAATTCCATCTGTCTGGACTCCGCTTGGTCCCTGGTACCCAGGTGACCCGTTTCTCACACCATTCTGAGAATCCTGGTTGTGAGCTGTGAGAGTGGGTGTGTGCACACCGGGCGCTTAGGTGTGAAGAAAAATGGGATGAAGATGATTTCATTGTGTGCACAAGCAGGTTGACAGTTTTCCAGTCGCCCCCACCTCCAGCTTCTTTCTTCAGAGGG